TTTAATTATTTCTTATCTCCTATATTTCCATCCTAAGACCAGGTTTGCAAATCCACAAGTAAAATCCTGACCCATCTTGATATATTTACTTTCATTTCTTTATCACTATTTTAAAAAAAAAATTCCTCCTATTTTCATTTATATTATATATAAAAATAATAACATGTTTCTTACTACAATTGTATTGTCATATATTTAAATAATTATATTTTTGAATTTGAAATGCTATTCCGTGCATCATCGGACAAATAAAAATACTAATATTTATATTATAAAAAAAAACTCAAGGGATTTCTTTACATATATATATATATGTATTTTCAATTATGCATGCATGCGTAGCAGTATATGAGAAAATTATACAGTAATATTCCTCGTACGTAAAATATATTTTATCCGACACCTAATCAATCCAACAAAGGGATTAATTTAATTCACATGGAATTATTACAACAGTGATTAAAGTGATAGCTACAGCAGTTATAATCCTTAATTCATTCAGTGCAGACTGCAGACTTGACCGGAAGTAGTAGGCTCTCGCAATTTCTTTCCTTATTTCACTTACGACCCCAAAACTCTTCATAATTGCATTCCCACCCCCACCATGCACGAAACAATATTTTTCTTCGCACAGCAACGTCCAAAATCAAGCATTAATAATACAAAACCCCAAAACAGTAAATTAAAATCAAGAATTATTATAACCCAGATAACCCATGGAATTCTGCTTCTTCAAATCATTATAAAACCTAATTATAAACTCCTCCGCCGCCTCATCCACGTGGGGGTTACTGTTTTCCAATTCAATCGGAAACGGGGAGTCTGTGATTCTCAGCTGCCGCACCATCGGGCTCGGCCCGAACCCAGGTAGGGCCGGCGACGACGACGCGCTATGGAAGATCTGGAGGGCTGCTGCCACCATCTCGGCGTCGATGGGCGGCGGCGGTGGTGGGGCGGCGGCGGCGGCGGAGTGTTTGCGCTTGTTGAGGAGGAGGTGGAAGGGGCCGAGGCGGAAGGTGGTGGTGGTGGGGTGGGCGGGGGTGTTGCTGCAGCTGAACTCGTACTCGTCGAGCCGCGGGTCTGGAGTGTTTTGGGAGCGGCGGGCGACGGCGGAGGCGTGGTGGAGGATGAGGTTGTTGAGGGCGGATTTTCCGGCGATCTTGCCGCGCTTGATCATTGAGTTGAGATCGGAGAAGAGTTTGCCCTTTGAGATTCCTTTTCTCAACATGAAGTAAAGAACTCGCACAATGCTCCAGAATTTCTTTGCTATTATCGGCAAATTCTGCTCCATTTCTGTGAATTGTTTTTAGGGTTAATTAATTAAGTTGAATCTAGAGAGAGAGAGAGTCTAGAGAGAGAAAGAGAGAGAGAAGAATGTTTCATGTGAATCAAGTTTAAGCAGATGAATTTGGTATTTAAAGGCGTGGAGAAATGAAAAGAGGGGCACGATTGAGTTTTGGTGCTTCAACTAAAGTGACCTTAAGTTGCACGGAACGTTCATTTTTTTTGGGTAAATTACATCTAGACCGCTGGGGTATGCTAAAATAACTTTAAGGCTCATGTAGTATCGGTAATTACAATCACCCCCCTAAAACATTGCTGGATATCCTAACGGAATAATGCATTGGATAAATTATTATGTTAAGGTTCCATGGACTATTAGTTTCAGGTAGTGCAGGTGGAGACACAACATAGAGTTAATGGGTGACATTACACTCCTAACATTTCTTAAATCCTTATTATAATTTATATAAGATAATTTTCGTTTCTGGTAACACTAATGGCCCCGCATGAAACAAATATAATGCATATCGGTCCCCATAACATGAAATCTTGGCTCTGGTAATTGTTTCAGGGGTGTGGCTGTAACTATCAATACAATTGGAAGCTTAAAGTTATTTTAGCATATTTCAAGGGTGTAGGTGTAATTTACCCTTTTTTATATTTTTTTAATTATCGAATATTTTTTTTTAAATAATAATTTGTTTTTAGTTCTTGAGGTACTAATGCAGCAATGCTAATTAATACTGTTCGTTAAATCAAGTTATTTAATTCTAGATCAGTCGTTGTTGGGTTAATTAGTTCTTTCATATAAGGTATCAATTGTTAGGTTTATCTAGCTCGGGTTCGAGCTGAATCGGAAAAAATAAGAAAGTATTTTTAAAAAAAGAGCTTCTTCTGGTTAGCTCCATTTATTTTGGTTCTATTTTAAAGTACTCCGTTTGATCGAGCTCGATTTGATTGTCAAACGAATCAATTTCGAACAAGCTTTTAAATTTCGATAAAAATTCAAATAAATATATATATTAACTCGGAGAAACTGTGACATAAGGGCACGTGAAAATTGTGTTTGAGATAAGCCAATTAAAATGCAGGCTGACATAATGATATATATATATACAATATGAAAATTGTATATTACAATTAATTTGTCCAACTATAAAAAGTTCTAAGGAAAAATTAAAGGGGATGGTTAGTGATATTTTATTAGTAAAATGGGGTTAGTTAGTGAAATAAACTATTATTTAAGTATATATATGTATAGGATATTTCCCCGCCAGTTGTTTTAGAGCCGTTAGAATCATGAACCAGAAAAATTCGTGCCGTTGTATGTAAAGCCTTTGCTTAGCATTGGAGGTTTTAGTGTGTGTATATATATATTTATATGTGTGTGCGCGCGCGCGATTGTATATATATTATATATGCATTTACATCGACTATATATTTCAGTGAGTACATATACCCAAAATTTCGATGTGAATGGGTCGAAGTTCAAGAACCTAATTAAGGTTTATATAAAATTATAAAATAAATACAGTAAAAATAAAACAACTATGAATATCCCAAATTTTTTTATTTTTTTTATAAATTGGAAGAATAATAATATTGGAAGTTGTTAAATGTACATAAGTTTGCAAATTAGGTTTTGTTGGTCAATATTTGTTAATTGTGCCCACAATAAGACGTAGCGTAGCTGTTTACAACATAATATATAATGAAAATTGAAAAGCATTGCAAATTAAAAAAAGCTGTTTAATTATAAAGTGCAAAGTTCTGCTCCATTATCAATAAAGTTAAGCATGTGTTTTATTTGTATATGCATTATTGGTTGTTTTAATTACGTGCTAATTAAGAATTAATTGTTCTAATTAAAAGTTTTTTTTAAAGTATTCAAACACTTAACAAACATTAAAAGAATTTTCATTACAAATAATGTGGTCGGAAAGATATTTTAAGTTGACCAAATTGTTTGAATTGAGTACTTCTGCCGCAACTGGAAATTACAGAAAAGCAAATGTTTGAATATTTTTCAATTATTAGTTGATAATTAAAATGGTAGTTTAATTTAATTAGTTTTCAGACCACATAATTAGTAATTACTGTTTCATTAGGCTGTATTGGTAATGGCTTTCAAAATTTTTGTAAAGCAACTGCGTCAACCTGAAGTATGTTCAAATTACGAAAAAACCCCTTATTGTTTGGAAAATTACAACCACCTCTTCAACTATGTATCGTCTTACGAAAAAACCCTTCATTTAGTAAGTAAATTAGACACTACAATGGTGGATGTGAAAGACAAACATGAGTGGTTTTTTTCATAACATAGGGTGGCCGTAATTACCCCTTTTTGTCAATAGTGTACAAATTAGACGAATCGAAATAATAGTTTTTCGGGTTTTTCTTTATTCCAATTTATTCGAGAAAGTTTCATAAATATTAAATTTCGGAATTTTGAAAATTGGAATGAGAAAAATGATTTTAAAATAATGAAAAAAACCGAATTTGAATGGGAAGTAAAAAAAATTGAAATCTCGTATATATATTCTAATTTCTATCCATATAATTTATGGAATTTGACGATGCTAGAGTTGGATCACCTTAGAGAGCTGAAGTATGATAAGATGGAAGAGCAAAGTGGATCACTGGCTCACGAGCTTGATGACCTTGAGATACCTGCGATCATAGAATACGTAAACTAAGTCGGGTGTTGATCCGGCAGAAACCCCTCCGACGCTCGAGTCAGACGTGCGGATAGTAGAAATAGTCCAGAGAATACAGATTGTAGTGTTGATCCGATATTAGGACGTAGCATAAGGAATGAGTTAACACTTTTATTTATACATCATTGATTAGACTAAAGTTTAATTAGTTGAGATTGTCGGACCCACACCTTATTTAAAGGTGGTTGGGCCTCAGTGGTAATGGTCTTCAATATTGAATTCGTGTCTTAGTAGGTAAAAAAATTGTATTGGATTGGCTCAATTAGGCATATCATAATTAAAATCAAAAAATTAGAAATTTTGGAATTCAAAATAAAAAATATTGTACCAAAATCGAAAATTTTCGGATTAAAAATATTGACGAAAATATATTTTATACAACGTGGGATATTGTAAATTAAATATGTAAAATATCTTAAGTGAGATTAGCCAAACAATTAACCCTCTAAACGACAAATTAATCCAACTAATTGTACTCATGTATTGAAACAGAACATATATGGCAATAATAGGAACGAGCCTATGCCCATGTTGCCCTTTAGGACTGCAAATAATCAAAGACTAAAACCTAATTTAATTATTTAAGCTCAAAATAGAAAAAAGTACACTAAGCTTTAGTATATAAATTAAATAAATAAAAGTAACTAAATACAACATATATCTATATGATTGATTTGAGTAAACCAATCACGACCGTACAAAAAAGCTTGTCTTATGATCAAAGTACTTGTGATTGATTTTATTATTAATAATGGTACAAAATCATCAAGATTGTTTTAATTTTATTATTTTAGAAGGTACAAGTAAATTATTTGATTTTTTTCACATTAATTTATGAATTCTCTATTTTCTCAAAAACTAAATTGCAATGAATATGATGTTTATGTATAAATTAAAGACAAAAAAAATCGAAGTCCGTCAATTTCGATACGAAAAATATTTTATTTAAAAACAAGTTTTGAGAAATATTTAAAGTGGTAATTATTTTTTGACCCTCTGAATTCAACCCTAATTTAACCCATTATGGTAATTAATATATATTTTTAATTTGTATACATCAAATTAAATGGAAGAGAAATGGACACGTGTCCCGAGCAACCTTTCTTGCTAAGTAAACAGCCATTGGAGGAAACCAATAAAGTTAAAACCAGAGGGAAACTTGTTCACTTCAAAAGTAAGGTTGAAAGTGAAAGGAATCATTTAAAATTACCAATAACTCCCTTTTTTAGAAAAAAAATAAATTATTTCTTGAAACCTTATTACAATTAGCTATAATAATTAATTAAATTGAATTTATGTATATGAAAAATGTATACTTTTCCATTTAAATATAATTGAAACTAAATATTAAAATGGACCTCTTTTCTATGGGTCAAAGTATTAATATTAAAAATCGGAATGCAGACATTATTAGCTAACACAAAAGTCGACGCGTTCTCAAATTGCAATTCGCAAGCAAGAAAACTTTGAATATTTTTACAAAATGATTTAAGAAAAAAAGTGATTAACCAAACCCAATACTTAGAGAAGTAAAGAAACAAAAGAGTTGAAAGTAAATAAAAGTTCAAAAAGATAAAGAAAGTGACTTAACCGGTATACTTTAAGAAAGTAGCACACATTCCCACATTTTTTCTTACTTACCTTATATTACATCAATTAATTTTACATTAACAAAATCAACATTTCCATGGGTTAAAATCAGACGGATCATATCGTAATTAACACCTACGGCAAAAAAATACAAAATAAATAATGAGTTGTAACTATATATTTTTAAATTTTATTTGTTCTTTATATATTATTTAATCAAAAATAATATATAAAAGATTAAAAAATTGCTCGTGAGCCTGCTCGTAAATTCAATAACAACTAAGAAAATGCTCGAGCTCGAGCTTTTTTCAAGCCGGTTTACCATCACTATAATTCCAATAATTGTATATATTATAATTCAATTTATTTAGTTAAAGAAATTATGAGATTGTGACTTAACGACCCCATCAATTATTGAGTGCACAAAAAAAATAATAAAATAAATTAAAATAGAAGTTTCCATGTAACTAAAGATGTACTACGAGTGATGCACAAGGTACAACTCATCTATGCACCCGGTGGTCTTTAAATAGCCACCCCCATAATTCCTTAACTCCATCAAAAAATTAAAAACAAATCTTCTTTCAATACAACAAACAAAAATTCCCCCTACCAAATCAACATTTCAAGAAATCTAGAGAGAGAGAGAAATCTAGAGAGAGAGAGAGAAAATGGAGCAAAATAAAATGCCGATAATAGCGAAGAAATTCTGGAAAATAGTGAGAGTGGTTTATTACATGTTGAGAAAAGGTATATCAAAGGCCAAGCTCTTGGCCGATCTCAACATCATGATGAAAAGGGGCAAGCTCGCCGGAAAATCGGCCGTTCACAACCTCGTATTCCACCACCACCACCACTCCGCCGCATCCGCCGCCGCCGCCGAACCAGAGGTCTCCTACCCGGTCCCGCTCAACGAGTACGAGTTCAGCTGCAGCAAAACCCCTACTTTCCGCCTCCCATTCCACCTCAACAAGCGCAAACACTCCTCTCACTCTCACTCGCCGCAGCCGCAGCCGAGCGATGCTGATCTGTTCGCCGCCGCGATGGAGATCGTCGGTGGAGAAGCGTCGCCGGCGCTTCCTGGGTTTGGGCGAACGCCGGTGGTGAGGCAGCTGAGGATAACAGATTCGCCGTTCCCGTTGAAGGAGTTTGAAGCGGATAGCCACGTGGATGAGGCGGCGGAGAAGTTCATTATCAAGTTTTATAAGGATTTGAAGCAGCAGAATTAATTTAATTAATTATTGAAATTTTCTTCACTTCCAATGTTTGTAGTTATAATTTTGTAATTTTATCGAAATTATATCTATTAAAAAAAATATCATAAAAGTATTAGTATAGAGGAAAAAAAGAACAATGATAAATGGTTGTTGTTTGTAATGATCAAGAAAAAGTTTTTATACGAATATATATCTTTCATTAATTAGTTTGTTATAATTTTGTATTTATCTTAGTGATTATATTTTTCACATATTTCAATTTTCTTTTTTATTATTATTATTTTTTATTTTATTTTTATGGATGCATATTTCACACACTATCTAAAAGGGGCATAATTTGTTTTTGTTTGGAAAAAAATTACAGTTTGCACCCCTCATGTTTGCATTGATTGCACATTTGGTCCTCATATTTATAAAAAATACATTTGATCCCTCACATTATTAAGCTAAAGTTAATTTAGGAGCTAGAGAAATGGAATTATTAGTTCAATTTCAAAAATAAATAGTTACTCGTCAAAATAGAGTTACAGAATTATATCTATATAAAAATTAAAAATCCCTAATCAAGTATGCTAATTTATAATATAAAAAAAAATAGTTTTTTTTCCCGATAAACAAAAAAAAAAGCACTAATAAAACACTAAACAAAGATGCATTAGCAATTTAGCAATCCCACAAACAAAGAACAATTATCCTGGAAATAGAAACACAATCCACGTGACCAAACAAACAAAGTACATAGTTTTGGGCAGAGAACTAAAACCATAATAAATATCTAAAAATAAATAAAAACCATAAATAATAATTAAACAAAGGACCAATTAACAAACATAAAACAGATGCAGTGAGCATCATCTTCTTCATTCAGCACTTTCCAAGCCACAGCCCTCTCGTACGAAATCGGCCTCCCCATGCTCGACAAACATATCCCTCCTTGAAGAGACGCAAAACCCTAAAAAAAACATTACAATATTTTGGCTTATTCATTTATTGCATTTAGTACATAAAGCATCGTTTAGGGGGTTGCATGCTAAAAAAACGCATCGTAGGGTGTTTTGTACTAATAGTTAAAAAACGAGGGGCTTTTTAGCAATTAGGTCTAATACAGGGGTATGAAATACTGAAATGTATGATAAACTGACCTGATTCATTATCTGTGGAAACTCGGAGCAGAGATTTTTCCGGCCATTATCATCGAAAATTTTCTCAAGAGGAATGTCTTGTAGTGCAACTAGGGTTGTCTCGAGCATGTCCACTCCAGCCTGGTTCGCAAACGTGAAAACGGGCAATGCCTGAAAAATCATAAAAAAATCCCATAATAAATAAATATTTAAAAAATATATATTAATTAATGCAAATTAATTTTTAAAAAAATAATTGATAACCTTTACGGAGCAGCACAAAATAGCATCCGAGTGATGCCACATAGCTTTAAGGATAGATTCATGCCCCCCTCCACCGCTACATTTGAGAAGCTCCACCCCCATATAATTCCTAAAATCGGACATATAGAAAAAAACTATAAAATTCCAAATTTTTTTTGAAAATTGAAAAATTGGGATAATGGATGGATAGTCAATTATCTTGTTGGGTTTATTGCCCTTAACACCCCTGTATTTACTCTAATTTTCAAACAAATCCCCGTATTACAAATATTAGCAAAAAAAACCCTGTAAAAACGCATCATTTAGGGTTTTTTTTGGCTAAAACTTATAACACAAGAGGTATTAAATGCAATAAACTCTTATTTTCATTACCTATAGCTTTGGCATATCCAACGGGCAAGAGTGTGTGCTTCGGGATTTCCGAGCGAAGATCGAAGACCAGAGCCATGTGGGCCCACGTGAGACGGTGAGAGAGCTAACGCCACCCTTTGAACAGATGATATAATGCTCCGAACATATTGTCGGGCGATTGAGGCAACATTTTCTTGCATGTGGCTTTCGAATCCAAACTGAAACGCTATTGTCATAACGGATCGTGTAGCGCCACCTGTCATTGAAACGCCGTTCAATGATTTGGCGCCAGCTGTCCCGGCTTCGAGAGCAGAGGCGAGGTCTAGAGTTCGATTTGGACTGCCAGTTTCCTATATAAATATTGCAAGAAAGGAAGTTTCAGAACAAGTTTTCGTGGAAGTATGTAAAAACCGACAATAATGTAATTTAGACAAAAGTTAAATGTGAGCAAATGCAATCAATCACCTTGCAAGAATCGAGAGGGATAATGCGAAAACCGGAGGGCAAAAGTGGAACGTCGTCGGTGAAAGAGGCATCGATTGGGGCGAATATTAGTTCGGCACATGTGCCGACAGTATTCTCATCCATTCCACTACACAGCTGATATTGAAGGCGGAAAAAAACAAATTAACTTTTTTTACTAAATTACCCACTTTCGACTCTTTTTTTTAATCTATATCCTAACTTTAAAACGAAATAATAAATAATAACGATTATGCCCTAATTTTCTGATGATTATATCACTAATAACTTATTAAAGGAGGAGAATTAAAATACCTGCAAGAGAAGAACATCTCTAGGCATCATTGCATCTTCAGGAGATTGGACAACACCTTCCAGCTTAATTACCTCCAGCAGCTACATAAGGCGAATTACCATATTTTATTTTTTTCAATTTTCATGAGAAATGTAAAAATAGATAAATAAATTAGGCATAAATATAATAATAAATAAATAAACGATTGAATAGACTTGCCTCTTCATGCTCAAAGGTTTGAGCCAATGGAAGTATAACTTGACCGCCAAAATTACCGACACGGGGACCGATTTTAATAGCAGCAGCAGAGTAGGCATCAATACTCGTGTCAGCCCATTCAGATCGGTGCTCGCGTAAAAACCTAAGTAGTATTGCAGGAGGCACATTCTGAACCCAAAAAAAAATATATATCAATTATGATTTCAATTAAAAAGATAAAAAAAAATTAGAAAAGAAAAAGTGGAATTCGCTAACCTGTAAAAGCATGGATGCTTTGGCACACAAGACAGAATTGGAAATCGAATTGTATCCATTCGTGAAAGGGGTATTTAAGGTAATCAATTTGTCGGGATTGGAGTTCACAAGAATAGTGATGTCATCCATGCCATCGTTACCTAACAACGACCACCCCTCGTCATTAAAGCCATTAAGAGCCTCGTTAAATCCCCTGCGATATATATAATCATTAATTAAAAAAAAAACTATACTCAACAAAAGTAGATTCACATAGAACCGAAAAAAACGAAGACCATAGACAGGTGGGTCCTACCGGCTCAACCGGTGGCTAAGTGCTCGTAGAGCTGCAGGTCTTCTTCCCCAATTAGTTACACTCGACTGTGAATTGTCCTGAGCTATCTGCCTCAGTTGGCGAAGAGCCTAAATTGGGTTACAAAGACGAAAAAATAAATTATTTAGGGCAAAGAAATAGCATCGCAAAATTTTATGGTAATTAATAGAAAAAATTTAATATATTACAGCCATTGTGATTTTTTGAGCAAGCATCGTAGAAGATTCGTAGAGTGGGCGCAACACCTCAGGAACACTCCATGCCTAGTTAAACAAAACGGGCAAATATTAGCATAAAAAAAAGTTCTATCTACGAAAATACCTTTTTAACAGTATTAAATTTGTTCGTAACAGATATTAATATTGACCTCGAAATTCAAGTGATCTACGATGTGGATAATCGAGCCGCCTCCATCACAAGGTCTGATTAGGTAGCCACTAGGCAACATCTCTGCTCTCACAAAGTTGGGGACAGCTGGCATGCTCGGACCATTTTGAGTATTGCTAAGTGATCTTTCGCAAACCTTTAGTACACATTGTAAAATCAGTCGATTATTTATTGAACGAAATTGGAAAAAAAATAAAATTGTTCACATACCACCATACTGCCATCGTCCATAACAGAGGTATAACGTAACAACCAAAAGTCACGACCTGGCGCCAAAGTTGTAGGCGCATATAACTAAAAAAAATTGCAAATTCATGAGTTCGTTAATGAATATTTATATATAGAAAGAGAGGGAGTCAGAAAAATATATTCACCTGCATGTATAAAAGTTCAATGGTTCCACCATTGGCAGTAGGCAGCACATTGAGCACATCCACAGCTCGACAATCGCGAAACCATGAAGGACGATCCTTCAGGATTTCTGCAACCTGAATTATAAACATTGTAGTTGATTTTTTTTTTATAACTCAAAATAAAATCATAGGAAAGAACAAACTGAAAACACGAACATAGTGAACTTACTCTGGAAGGTTCGAGACCAACCAAGCCACAAGCTCGTGCTGCTACGCCAGAGCAACCGTGAGAAATAGCAACGATTCCAATGGAATCCGGACCAGGCTACTCCAAATTAACAAACAATTGGTTAAACAAAACTGGACCCAATATATTATTTTTCGCAAAAACGAGACGAAATAATGAAAATAAAGTGGCCACAATGCTTATTGATTATGAAGTAACATCTAGAATGCATTATATGTTTATGTGCACACTAGTCACTACAAATACAAGCATGATTTTGTACTTCTAATATTCCACACAAATGCATATAAAAAACGGCAATCGAATATGACAACGTAGGTAAATATTAGACAATTAACAAATTCAAGAAAACCGTTTTTACCTTCATTCCAGGCATTTGGACCCACTCTACAGCGGTTCCAGTTGCCTTCGAAAGAAATTCTGCTAAAGTTTCTTCTGCAATGGACAAAAGCCTGGAGAAACAACAATAAAAAAAATCCAACAAAACTCCATAAATAACCATGAAAAAAACAATCACTAGTTAATTCTGTCACATAACACAACAACATATAAAATCTCCCTTCTATCAAGAAAACGACTCAATAACAACGGTCTCATCAACTCACCCTGCAGGACTGGCATCCCTCGGGGGATGCTGAGGTGTCAAGTGGTGTTTCTGACCACTTGTCACCACTGATTCACAGCTCGTGTCTTTGGTAGGCAGCGCATTCTGCAATAAGAGTAAAAAAAAATAACCTCATTAATTTTCTCCATTTTTGAATTACTCAAGATTATACCAAATTGGAAATGCACGATTTCTCACACTAGGATTATTCTGCCGAAAGTAACCGTTTTCATACACCAGCTGCGACACCTGTTTCTGCAACCTGTCATTCTCCTCCATCAAGAGCCTATTCATGGCAGTCAGCTTCCTGTTCACACCTTGAAGCCTCGAAGCCTCTTTCCTCTGCTTCTCTCTGCACCTGCCATTTTTTCGAAGAAAAAATAAATTAGTTCAAGATCCAGCCTTTTCCACACAAGAAACTTTAATGAAAGATTCCATCAATAGTACTAAGAGATACCTTCTGTTTTGGAACCAGACTTTGATCTGCTTAGGCTCAATGTTGGATAAAATCGGGCACTCACGAATGAGCTGCTGCCGGCGCATGGAGCTCGGTTTAGGGCAGTCGTGATATAGCCTCTCAAGGGCTTCAACCTGCTCCGGCGTGTACCGCACATATTTTCCGTCCATGGCAGCCGCAGCAGCGGCGGCGGCAGCTGCCGCCTTGTTGCTGTCTTTGCAAGACATAGCCATTTCCAACAAATTACAATCTCAATTAATTCGACAAACCAACTAATACTTAAAAACCCACCACCCAAATTGAACACACTTTGTAAGAAATACTACACAATAGTTTAAACTTGAGGGCTATTGGAAAGAACCAATTTTTCGGACAGGAGAGAGAATTACTAGGGCCTCAAGCATACACCCATTGTTTTTTTCTTTCTTTGGACAACGATGACCTATTTTACTGCTGAAGAGCAGAAAAAGTGGGAGAATGTTTCTGAACTATGATTCTTTCTAGGAGAATAAAAATTTAATTTTATCACGGAAAGCAAGAAATCTTGATGCGTAAATGGACAAAAAGATTGCTGAAAACCAAATCCCCTGCACCAAACACAAGAAAACAAACCCCCCCAACAATCACACCCCCCACAAAAACAAAACAAAAAAAAATTAAAAACTAAAACCCCTTTATTTCTTGCATCCACCAAGCGTTCCTCCAATCCAGCCAGTTTTCCTTCATACTAACTGATTCATGCAAAGATCCGAGATTTAAGCCTGACTGTCTGAATCCAATTAGAAAAAGCAAACCACAAATAACATCTCATAGCTCTTCTCCAAGATTATTTTCCCCCCCTTCCATTAAAACAAAAACTTATCTTTCAACCAATTGAACTCCTCCAGCACACACACATACAATACACACACAGCTATGTGTACATCACAAAATTGCATAAATCAAAAGAAATGGTTCTGGACTTGGTTCAAAGAGTGAAAAGGGTGAAAAGGGAGTTGTTGGTAAAGAAAATATAGGGAAGATAGGAAGAAGAGCACAGATAGTGCTTGGTGGAGCCTTTTTCTATTTGATTGGTTTAAGTTTTCTGTAATGGCTTTTTTCTTTTTTCTTTTTTTTCTCTTGAACTGGGACCTATTCTTTTCCTTTTCCTCTTTCTATGTGTATATTTTGTTGCTTTACATACTATCTCTGATACTGTGCTGGGCAGGCAGACTGGATTTGGAATATTTCATGAATGGGACTCTTGTCAGGACTATATTTTCTTCTTTCCATGCGGTCAGCACTACAGCTAAACAACATTACCCTCAAACTTCACAACAATTTGCAATAATAGTAATTAAATAAATAAATGAGGATACGGTATAACACCCCCCACCCCCACCCCCCACACACTTTACAGTGTGTGTGTGTGTGTTTTGGGGTATATTGTATTGAATGTCTTCTCTGGGACAAATAAACAAACACCTTGAGGGCAGGTTTTTTTTTTCCCTCGAGAAAAACAAATGTGAAGCACTTGTGTAGAGAAAGTGGCAAGAATGTAAAATGGTGGGATTGGAAATGGCAAAAGAGGTAGTCCATATTGAAGAGGAGAAAAGAGAGGCATGGGGGAGAGAATTTGCGTGGGAAGAGAGGACACCATGATTAGGGATTTGCATGCGCCTTTCCTCGAATTTATTACTCCGCACATCTCTATATATCTATATATATATTTAATGCTCCTATTTTATTTAATTCAAATATCAAAAGTAGGCCTCTTAAATTGTTGTTAAAATATCAAAAATAGACCACTTAAATAAGGAGGTGTTTGGCAAAACTTTTAAGTTATTCAAAAGAGCTTATAAGCAATTTAAGAGTTTATAAGCTCTTTTGAAGCTTTAGGTTAAAAAAAAGGGGAAATATGCAATACACCCCTTATTTAGAAAATATTTTGAACTAAACCCAATTGACTTTAAAGACTTTTCCCATAACCCATATCCCAATCTAAATTAGTGAGACCCCCTTACCATCCATGATAAGACTAAAATGCCCATATGTGTTAGGTTTTTAACCTAATACAATTTTATTTCTCTCTCTTTCATTCTCTCGCTCTTTCTCTCCGTTCTCGTTCTCGTTCTTTTTTTTTTTTTTTCCTTTTCCGTTCTCGTTCTTTTTTTTTTTTTTTCCTTTTCCTTCTTCTTCAGTTCTCGCTCTCTCTCTCTCTATTTCATTCTCTCGTTCTTTCTCTCTGTTCACAGTTCTTTTTTTTCTTTTTTCCTTTTTCCTTCTTTTTCAGATCTGTAAATCGCCGTCGCCGGCCGAATCCTGTTGCAGGAGGCCCTCCTCCGCTGATATTGGAGATCGTTTCCCCCTTCGTCGAGCACCACCATATCGACGCTTGGTACAGCTGGCGGCGGCGCCTCCCCACCTTGTCGCCGCCTCCGTCGGATTTCTACATGGAGATTTCCCTTCTCTCGACGATGAATACCAATATATACTATATTAATTGGTAATTTTTTTTTTTTTTTTCTCGAATTAATTGTCGAACTAGCAATAGAGTATGTTATGGATCTGATTTTCAATTCTATTATTTGTTTGTTATGAACGCATACATTGATTTTCAATTATTCTGGATTTTATTAAATTTTGTCTTATTCTGAATGTTTAGATCTGGAAAACTCATTGAATTACGAGATTAGTCGGTTGTAGTGCAATGTATTTTACAGAGTAGTCATATTTGACAGAGTAGTCATGTTTAACAACTTAGTTACATTTGTCCTTTTTTTTGTAGTGCTGCATATGTTCAACATTTAACAGTGTAGTCATATTTAATACACAAGATCGAACGGAAGATTAAGGGCGGTCGGTGCAACCGAGTTGGATACCGCAACAAAAAAAACATGTTCGATGGCCATTGTTGAAAGATCACATTAGTTATTTATTGTTTTTTTTAGTCATTTTTTTTTCTTTTTGCAATGTATTTTGGTATTAATATTGCAAGTTTTTTCAAGTGCTGATTACTTGTAGTCACGTTACGCAGAACCTAGTCACATAATAGTCATATTCTCACTGTCCTGTTCAGTCACTGTTATACAAACCGTAGTCACATAATAGTCATATTCTCGTTGTTTTTGTTAAGAATCATACTTCTACTGTCTGTTAATTATAATATTTTACAAAGCACAGTCACATTCACATAATAGTCATATTCTCGCTGTTTTTGTTAAGAATCATGCTTCTACTGTCTGTTAATTATAATGTTTTACAAAGCACAGTCACATTCACATAATAGTCATATTCTTACTGTTATCTTAATAAATATGCTTCTACAATATGTTAATTACACTGTTATACATCGCGTAGTCACATAATAGCCATGTTCAACTATAGTTATAATCGGAGTTGTAAATCTGTCGAGGAAAAAAAAATCAATTTTTTGTTTAAATATATATATATTTTTTTTGTTTAATCAATTTTCTAATAATTTTTTTTTATTTTTTAAAAATTTTTCTAATAAAAAATATAATTTAAAAAAAAATGGTTAAAAAATCCGAAAATAATAAAAAATAAAAAACATAATTTTTTTTATTTGATTTGCTAGCAAATTTTTAGGAATTTGGAAGCAGATTTTTAGGAATTAAATTATTGTTATGGAAAGAGAGAAAAAAGGAATAATTGAGACTAATTATGCTAATTGACATAAGGGTAGAATTGGAAATACAAATTCTAGGGGTTTATCACAAAGAAAGATTTAAGGGGTGGACATATCACCATTTATTATCTATATGAGGGGTTTATTGCTAATGACCCCTAAAAAAAATTGAATTTTTTTTTTTAAATGAGGTGTTGGAGAGCTTTTAAAAACTTTTTAATCATGAGTAAAAATAGCTTATAAGCTAGTAATTCAAACATTTTAAAAGTTAATTTTTTTTGTGCGTAACGACCACCCCTTAGGATTGAGGTAAGGTTAAATTACGAAAACCCCCTCGTGTTTGGATAATTACAGGCACCTCCTCAACTATGAATCTTCTTTCACGTTTATCCTTGCGATGTCAAATATAGTGAATATTCTCAAGTTTGTACCCATTTTATTTCGTTCGAGCTGCACATTTTGAAGCAAGTTGGTCATAAGATTTGTTTTTTAACTTATATATATCAGATTGTGGTGCATCAAAAACGACATTTTTGTATAAAACGAATACAAACTAGAGAATTTCCACGAAATGTAGAAGATTGTGTTGAATTTAATACCATAAAAGTGTGAACACGTGCGAAAATTCATAGTTGAGGGAAATAGTTATAACTATCCAAATATAAGGAGTTTTTCGTAATTTAACATTATCTCAAGGCTAGGTTGTAATTTACCCTTATAAATATAAATAAAATGTAACAAATTACCAGGCCTTAAAACAACTTATCAAACAGCCTCTAAAATTCCATAAACTCTCTAGTTTTCGAAATATATATTTCAATAAAATATTATATTATCAATCATTTTTACGGTGTTTTCCACAAATAATACTATTATTGGTTTCTTGAAACTCATATAATAAACTTTAAATCTGTAATCTTTTATAACAATATACGAATGGTATAATTGAGATTTTTTTTTAGGCCTAGCAGCTAGGGAGGCTAGGAACTTAATTAGGATAATTAATTAATTTAGGAGAAAATAGATAAATAAATAAATAAATATTAATGAAAAAAGCAATGATATCGAACGACCACCATAAGCGCTGACATTGCAAAATAAATCGCCTACAGCCCCACCGCCATGATTGTCTACACTTCTATTCTCCGGCGACGACCGGCTGACAGTCGCCTCCCCCTTTCACATCCATCTATTTAATTATTACCAATTTCCCATAAATAAATTTATTAAATTGTAAAGAAAAAAAATATTTATTATGATTGATGGAACTATTATTCTTTTTGTAACTTGATTTTGCCAAAATGTAATGAATTGTGTTTGGCTAACATTGTAAGTCGTTAAAAAGAGTTCAAAATATGTTTAGCTTATAAACTTATTACCTACACTTTAAAAATTAATTCTCAGAACAAGACGTAGCAGTTTATCAGGTTTTAAAATAACTTATCAGATGTGACAACTTTTATCAGTTGTTTAATAAACTTCGCAAAACAGGCTCGTGGTAATGAATTTAAAAGATATTTCGCTAAGTTTATAAGCTGTTAAAAAGTGCTTCTAATATGTTTAAGAGCTTATAAGTTCTTCCAAAAGTGTTTGGTAAATTTTTTTTTTTTTTTAAATCTTAAGAATTTAAAAAATAAGCTGTTGTGGAGTAAATAAGATCTTTGTAAAAAAAATACATCTATCCTGTTTTTTTAGTTAAGATCTTATAATGAGTAAAAATAGTTTATAAACTCATCATTCAAACACTTTAATAAAACCGAACAACTTATCAACTCCTAAAACACATTATCAGACTTAAGTAATTATCAACTGTTTAAATAAACTTAAACAAACGGGCCCTTAAGATAAGACCTAAAATTCAACAAAAGGAAAGTGTCTCAAAAAATTTTATTCATAAATCGCTATTTTAGTCTGCAATAACTATTGAAATCGGGCTTTTATATGAGCCCAGCCCATTAGCAAATTGTTTAATATCTTCAAAAAAAGCCCAACTTCAAAGTGCCATTGAAACGACGTCGTTTTATCAGCTTCCGATGGTATAAAGGTAAATTGTCGCTGGACTTCAGTGAGAGCTCGACGGTTTCAACGCTAACTCTTCTTGTTTCTCAGGTCAGTCCAATTTTCGCTGCCCCTCTTTTGTATGTTCAAAGTTTAGCCACCGATTTTTCCGATCAATCGGCGGAACGTTGATTCAGTAATGAAATGTATCTGCCCACGATCTTCTGATCAGAATTTTAGATATGAAAGACACTTCATTGTTTTAGTAATCGCGATCAATTGTCTGTGCGTTCTTCGGATTAAGTATTCGATTGTGTGGGGTTTCTGCATTTCTTTGTTTTAGTTTGCCCTAATTTTGATTTCTGAAATTTAATTCCGAAACAAAACAAAGATGTTGGCTAATTGACGACATGGTTTTTTTTTTCAATTTTTTTTTTCTGTGAATTCAAAGGGAGAAGCGTGTTTTGTTGGGAATAACTTAATTTCTAAGTGTAATTGTTGCTGCTATGATTTGATTACAAGTAAAGAAGAAGAAAAAATAATTTTTATTGATAGGTTTTCGCCGATCATATGTATGTAAAACCGTATGTTAGTACTTGGTACATTGGACCAGCTGCGGAGGAAGGAGGAGGATAAAATGTGAAAATTCAGGTTCCAAGTAAAAGTTAATCGTGATTTTCGATTAGTGGTATAATCAGCGTCGAATCGAAAGCTAATCAAATGTGTGAAATGTCTTCTTTCTTGGCACTTTCCTTGGGCTCAGTTGCTAGCATGATTACCTCTATATGAATGGAATAGGACAAATAACAGGAAATCAACAGTCGTTTTGTGTTGAAACGTATGAAGTCATTTACAATCACCGTTTGGTTTGGAGTTTTTAGTTGTAGATAACTGAGTTCAGATGCTCCGGCACCTTCGTTTTTCTCTTTCGAAGTTCTTGACTGCTTAATTAAATCCCATATTCAGTTCGTTGCAAGAGTCGTTTCAACGAGGGATATCATTTCCATTAAGTTAATTTGATCTTTTTGGACTCTCGGTTGTCACTCTCTGATTCTTCTGCGAGCTGTTAACTTCTCGAAAATGAATCCGTTATGTATTTCCGGTGTACATACCTAATTCTGGCTTATTTTTGTCAGTTCTAACTCTTTAACACATTGCTCAATGCAGAAACTATCCTATTTTGAATTAATATCAATTTTTTATTTTATTTTTTATAGCTAATCCAGAATATCGAAAATGCCTGGGCAAAAGATCGAGACAGGCCACCAAGACATTGTCCATGACGTGACAATGGATTACTACGGGAAACGCCTCGCCACAGCATCTTCAGACAACACCATCAAAATAATCGGAGTCACAACCTCGAATTCTCAGCATCTCGCAACCTTGACAGGTCATCAAGGGCCCGTGTGGCAAGTCGCGTGGGCCCACCCAAAATTCGGTTCCCTCCTCGCCTCATGCTCCTACGACGGCAAGGTCATAATCTGGAAAGAAGGCAATCCGAATGAGTGGAGCCAAGCCCACATCTTCGAAGACCACAAAGCCTCAGTCAACTCCATCTCATGGGCCCCACACGAGGTTGGCCTCTCTCTAGCATGTGGATCGTCCGATGGCAACATTTCGGTTTTCACCGCACGATCGGACGATGGGTGGGATAAATCAAGAATCGAGCAGGCGCACCCGATCGGTGTCACCTCCGTCTCGTGGGCCCCACCGACCGCCCCGGGCAGCCTCGTGGATTTCAGTCAGCTCGAACCGGTTCAGAAGCTGGTCTCGGGCGGGTGTGATAACACGGTGAAGGTCTGGAAGTTCGAAAACGGGGCTTGGAGAATGGACTGCTTCCCTGCGTTGAAGATGCACACCGATTGGGTGAGGGATGTTGCATGGGCCCCGAATTTGGGGCTTCCGAAATCGACAATTGCGAGCTGTTCGCAAGATGGGAAAGTGTTGATATGGACTGCTGCGAAAGAAGGGGACCAATGGGAGGGCAAGGTCTTGAAGGATTTCGGAGGGCCTGTTTGGAGGGTTTCGTGGTCGCTTACTGGGAATATACTTGCTGTGGCTGATGGGAAGAATAATGTCACTCTTTGGAAGGAAGCTGTGGATGGAGAATGGCAGCAGGTTACTACTGTTGAATCGTAAAAAAAACTGTTCGTTTTCTGATTATCGAACCGTTCTTTTCTTTTAGGTTTTTTTACTCATCTCGACTGGTTTTAATCTGCTCTCTTCTCTGACTGGTTATGGTGGATTGATTTGACTTCAATTGAACATGCTTTGTTTTGATATGGTTTATTGTGTTTGTTTTGTTCACAGAAATGCATAATCTGGTAAAGTTAATTCTCCAGTTAGTGATGCATTTGCTGTAAATCTTTGATAACTTGTGAGTTGTGACTAAGGCCTTGTTTGTTTGGGAAAATGTGGTGTGATTGGTTATATAATTGGACTAATTTGTCCTTATAAACAACCATTACCATGGATGCACCTGAAGTAGCGGTGTTCATCCGGTCGGTTTTACCTACCCGAACCGAAAATTCGGTACGCCCCGAATACCGAACCTCTAATTCGGTTCGGTATTCAGGTTTTTGATTTCCGAAATTCCGGAAATTTTGTTTTACCAAATACCGAAATTTTATTTTTATTTATTATTTTATATATGTATATATTTTTTTTATATGTAATATTAGTATTAAACTATTTTTTATTTTTAAACTACAATTTATTTTTTTAAATCAAAATTTTAAATATTTTTAATAAAATTTTGGTACTTCGATTTTTTACAGAACCGGATTTCATATTTCGGTTCGACAGACGGTACGAAATGTATGACAAGCCATCTCCTAAGCCACGTTACACTTTTAAACAGTTTATAATATATTTTTTTTATTAAATTAAAAAAATAACGATGTTGGTTTAGAGTACAGAAATTGGATTCCAATATCCAGCTAATTGCCTAATTGGGATTTGACCAGCGCTAGGTTTGCCTTTTAGGAACAACCCCAATACAAAACGACGTACAACTATATTAGCACGGAGTACTACATCACAGGAATATGCTTGTATATGTTTATTTTATGAAGAGTTTGACAATATATAGTAAATAAAAGGTTATCACATGCTGGCTGACAACACCCCCTCACCTTTGTCACGTGCTTACTTGTACCCCATGAACTAAAATTTAGCAGCAAACCTATTTAAATCACCTAAACCTTTATTTATTATTATTCATTATTTTTTATTATTATTTTGTGAAATTAATATATAAGTGCTAAAGTATATATAGTAATTAGTATATATAACTAATATAAGTTAAAGTAAATAAGAGTATAAGACCAACGGCTAAAGAATATATCGATTTGTAAAAGCGGAAAGTTAAACCAAAAGTTTATTGACACTTAAGAAATGATTACAAATACAATACAATGTCGATAAATTAATAATATCGTTTAAATAATAATTTCTTCTGGTTTCAACTCGGTAAAAACGTATAAAATTATTAGTTTGATAATTTAATTTTTTTAATAATTTATAGAGATTTTTAACTGTAGTTGTAAAATTAATAAAAAGTTTATCAATTTATTGAAATATATTAGTGTACATGAATACTTTGATTCATGTTTTAAATGAGTCACGATACCAACAAAAAATCACGTGATATATTAATTGACCAAATAATAGCCTATAGTTCTAAATTGGACCAAACGAAATGTTACCTTTCGATTGTTGTTGTTTTTATTTCGATTTAAGTGAAACAGCATTATTATTGGAAACGTTAAATTTTGATAAGAATGTAAGAAATTATATATAAATAATAATAAATAGTAAAAAGAAAATGATATTAACTCAAACTCTAGGGGATGACACGTGGAAGAATCGCGACCGTCGTTAGATCAAGTCCGAGCTGTAACCATCGTGCTTAAACGTGGGTTAAGGAATATAATAACATGTGAATATAGGTAAAACTAAAGTACTAATAATGTATTAAAATAATATTAGGGGGGCAAAAAACTAAATAAATATAAATCAAGGGGGGCAAAAACACTTATCCCGAGGGGAAAAAATAATTAGAGAGAGAGAGAGAGAGTAGAGAGAGAAAGAGAGAATCCGGCTGTAAACTTGGACACTAATGGTGGAGTCACGGCGACAAAACCTGCTAGATCGATTCTTAAGGGAAATGATTTTATTTTTAATTTATCTATTTTATTTCTCTTAATTTCACTAATTTTCTTTTTATTTATTAATTTAATAATTTTCTCATTTATATTTATTATTAATTGAAACTATGCCTATTTTACCGTTATGACCTCCGAAGAATTGCATTAGAATATTTACATGCACATGGCACTCGTAAGTTTGTAATAAATTTGGCCTTATCAATAAATCATAGAAAAATATTTATTTATTTTTATTTATATATATTTTTGTTTATTTATTTATCAACATAGGCTTTCTGAAAATGAGAATCCCAATGCTGACGATATTTCAATCACCCCCCCAAATAAATAAAAATTAAAATAAGATTGGGACTGTTATCACACAGAGCAAAGTCAGTGGAAGTTAGTGGCTTTTTCATGTGAAGCAATGTGCTTTTATAAGTACTATTCCCCAACAAAAAAACAAATTCAAATTAAATATTATATTTTATATATTTATTTTAAATCAAAAAATAAATATTGGGTTTCATATTCTTTGCTTAGGCTACATAGCAAATGTAGAAAGGGTAAAATGATGAATTAGAAATATTAAAGTAAATATAAATAATACTTTTTTTTTACCGAAAAGAAAAAGGAAAGACAAGCAACTAACTTTACATAAGTAGCAAGTGAAGTGATTGATAAAACAGATTATTAATAAATAAATAAAAGAAAAAGATAAAAAATAATAATTTAATATTAATTTAGAGTTTACACCACAAGTTTTGTTGTATTTCCAATTGTACCCCGTGGTTTCACTCATAAAAAACCCATCCCCTTCTCACATTCACTTTCAACATAGACACCATTTCAAAGTACAGTAATTCTCTCTCCTTTCTCTCTCTACCGTTTTCTCTCTCTACCGTTGCTCTGCTTTTGTGAAAAGTTGGAAATTCGGATTATGGAGTATTTGGCCGGGGATTACGCTGAATTTTCGTCGGTCGACAATGGGAATTTCAATCACAGCAGTAATGGCGGTGGCGGCGTTCATTTTATCGTCGACGATTTGCTCGATTTTTCCAAGGCGGACGAGACCATGACCGACGCGTTTTTCGACACTCTGGCCGGGAATTCCGGTGATTCCTCCACGGTTACGGCGGTCGACAGCTGTAATTCGTCGGTTTCCGGCGGTGGAGACGGCCAATTCAACGGTGACGTCAGCTGCCGGAGCTTTAACGACACGCAGTTCTCCGGCAACGAACTCTGCGTTCCGGTAATTAATTAATTAATTATTAATTATGCATCTTCTCTGCATGGAATTCCTTGAAACGTGTGCGCCTGTATGTGTGTGTGTGTGTTAATTTCATTTACCCCCTTTTTTTTTCCTTAATTTAAAAAAAAATTAAACACGCCGACAGTTTGCACTCATCATTGATGAACACAATTAACAGTGAATATTAAAAAAAAAATTGTTTCAGCAATTGTGTGTTGTTTATTTCTCTCAATTTTGGTGAATTTTTGAAATTGTGAAAATTAATCAAATTTACTTTTTTCACCAACACAACAGTATGATGATTTAGCGGAGCTGGAATGGCTTTCCAATTTCGTGGAAGAATCGTTCTCAACAGACGACCTCCACTTCATCCCCGCCACCAACGCCGCCGCCGCCGCCGCCGCCGCAGCAGCAACCAAGGCTGTAGCCGCAGACGCCTCTTCCTCTGTCATCACCACCAACTCGCCGCCTCAACCAATTTTCCCTACCGAGGTCTCAGTCCCCGGAAAAGCCCGCAGCAAACGCTCACGCGCCGCCCCCTGCGACTGGTCCTCCCGCCTCCTCCTCCTCTCCCCCTCCTCAAACCCCCAAGCGGCGCCGCCGCCGCAGCAGCAGCATAAGAAAAGGGAGCCATCGGAAACTCCCGGCCGGAGATGCCTCCACTGCGCATCGGAAAAAACCCCACAGTGGCGAACAGGCCCGATGGGCCCGAAAACTCTCTGCAACGCGTGTGGGGTACGATACAAGTCGGGTCGGTTGGTACCCGAATACCGACCCGCCGCCAGCCCCACTTTCATATCCGCCCGACACTCGAATTCACACCGGAAAGTATTGGAGCTCCGGAGACAGAAGGAGGTGCAAGTAGTCCACCATCACAAACAGCACCACCACCCGCAATTGATCAGCCACCATCAGCCTTCGATTTTCAACGGCTGTGATGAGTTCCTGATTCATCACCACGGTAGCATTAACGGTCCAGATTTGAGGCACATGATCTAGTTCTGCGTGTGTGTGTGAGAGAGCTACTAGTGTACGGAGATGGGTCCCACATGCCTGCTAATTTTTTTTATTAGTCATAACCCAATTTTTCTAATTTCACCTTTAATTAAATCTGGTTTTAGAATTATTTGAATTCTCGAAATAGAAAAGTGGAGGGAGAAGATGGTCAAATTAAATTGTAGAAGCTGTAACGCAATATTTTAAATTTTCTTTAAATTTTGATAAATGTTATTATTTTTATTTCCTAAATTTACCTTTTTAGGGTATATTACAACCACACCCCTAAGTTATGCTAAAGTATTTTTAAGGTCCTTATAGTATCAGTAATTACAATCACCCTTTGAAACATTGGATAAGTTATTTTGTTAGGGTTCTAACGGAGTACTAGTTTCGTGTAGTGGTTGATACAACATAAAGCTAGATGGTGACACGGCTCTCGTAACATTTCTTAAATCCTTATTATCTTATATAAGAATTACAAATTTTCCTCTACGGTAGTATTGACGGCCCCGTGGGAAAGAAATATAGTGCATATCGATGCCCAATACATGGAATCCTGGCTCCAATAATTGTTTCAAGGGTGCGGCTGTAATTACCAATAACACAGGGGCCTTAAAGTTATTTTAACATAACTCAGGAGTGTAGGTGTAATTTTCCCTACTTTTTATTATACACGTAATACACCGTATACTGTGTGTACGCTAGAACTTTGAATTTGATTGAATAAGATTGTATAGAAAGCAAAGAAGAAAGGGTATTTGGGGAAGGGAAAACAGAGTATGTGATGAAGAAATATCAGCTGGAAAGTGGGTTGCAATCATATGGGAATGGGTGCAAAACTTTTATCAGGGAGCCATGGGGCCAGGGGGTGGGGGGGGGGGGGGGGGGGCTAGGGTGGGGTGGGGGTGGTCTGTTTCTTGAAAGTTTGGGAATTTGCACATGGCGGGGCTCATGGTTTGAACTAAATACAATGGTCCTTCACCTCTGGAATTTTTATTTTTTATTTTTTTTTAAATAATAATATATTCATTATTCAACCAACAAATCATTATATTATTTTGGGGATGGATCCATGCATGTTAGTTAAAAGATTGGTAGACGACTTAATTACATGTCTCCAAATATAGGTTAAATTACACCTACAACCAGTGGCGAGTCCGGAAATTTGTTCCAGGGTGGGCTTAAATTTTCAGGGGTTCGGGAGCAGCGCCCCCGAATTTTTTTTAGGTTTTTTTGTGACAAAATCCGAAAATTGGAAAAGAAAAAAAAGGAAATGTAAAAAAAATTAGAGGTTTTTTTGAATTAATTTGAATTTTGGGTGGACTAATTAATAAAAATTGGGTTTTTTTTGCATTAATTTAAATTTTGAGTGGACTAAATAATAAAAATTGGGGTTTTTCTTGCATTAATTTAAATTTTGGGTGGGCTAATTAATAAAAGTTGGGTGGGCTAAATAGATATATATATGTATAATATAGGGTAAAATATATAAATTGAGGGGGGGCTTGAGTCCACCCTTGCCCAAGGGTGGACTCGCCCCTGCCTACAACCCTAAGGTATAATAAAATATCTTTAGGGTCCTTGTAGTATCGGTAATTACAATACCCCCGCTAAAACATTGTTAGACATCCTAACGGAATAATGCATTGGATAAATTATTCCGTTATGGTTGTAACGGACTATTAGTTTCAGGAAATAGTGGAGACAGTATAGAGCTAGAGGTGACATGGCTCCCCCAATATTTCTTAAAGTCTTATTATTTTATATAGGAAGCATTAACGACCCCGCGAAAAACAAATATAATGCATATCGGTCCACATGACATGAAATTTTGGCTTCGGTAGTTGTTTCAGGGGTATAGCTGTAATTACCAAAACTACAGGTTCCTTAAAATTATTTTAGTATACATTAGGGGTGCATGTATAATTTACTGCAAATAAATTAAAAGAATAAAGATATGACTACTTGTATTTCTTGTAAATACACATGAATATAAGTATACAATATGGTATATTTGCAATTATAATTTTTAATTTTAATAAGCAAATTTGATTGAAATAATTATGTAATATGGGATCATTTGAAAATCAAAGCAAAACTACTTGTAATAATTTCGAGAGCGTTCCCTAAAAGCTCATTTGAGCTCGGTTTGTTAGTATAAGGAGCCAAGCTTGAACACGTATTATGGAGCACGATTTGGGAAGAAAAATGATAACTTTTGAAAAAAAAATCTAGTTACTCGACCTCGATTAATGTTCGTCTGAACTCGGCTTGATTTCTTGTAAAACAACCTCAAACACGGTTTTAAAAGGTCGATAAAAAATCGGACAAGATTGAACAACTATGCGTTTGTCTCGACTCGATTCGTTTCAAATAAAATGTTAGTTCGAAATTGGAGTACATGTCAAATATTTAGCAACGAATACCACATTCCTAAATCAAATGAAATAATTTACCAAACAAAACATGCACCAACTGAATTACTTTATAACACTAAAACAAAAACAAAAAATGAGGAGTGATATATAAGTAACAATTTTGAAATGATTTACCCTTTATATAAGTTCACTCTACCTAATTATTTTTGCACATATGCCCTTTTCTTTTACAATTCTCTTCCTTTTTCTTTTCTTTTCTTTTTTATAATTAATTCATCCTTATTATAAACAACCATTACATTAAATGCACCAGAAGGGTTTAACATGTGGTGTTTCCCACAAGTATGGGCTCCTCTCTCCACATTTTCTCTTACATCTAAAAAATAATAATTAAATATCAAGATTAATAAATTAAATACCTTGAACTAGTGATTAATGTATAATTATTAAGAGAAAGTAAACATTAACATGGATTTCAGTGATTAATTGACCTGATTAATTAAGACAGGATTCGTGGAGTAAGAGGAATCGAAAGAACATCGTGTGGTGTACGGAGTATAGTTGCATGGAAATGCGGTTAGAAATTAGAATCAAACGTGCGAATTTTTTTGGAAAATTAAATTGCAAAAAAATAAAAAAAACAGCAACATTTATTTGGGTTTCCAAATACTATTTGCTTGATATTAAATTAAATTAAATTGAGAAAGACCCCCATTCACAACTATAATGACAATGTTTGAATTCGTTTTGGAAGCTATTTTCACTTTTTACTGTATTAGTCAAATTATGTCCTAACAAATACGGGTTCATTTCAAGAATAAAATAAAAGTGAAACGAGAACAGAACCAGAACCGAATGTGTTTTAAGTGGTGTAAATATAGCCAATAGATTCGATTATCATTCCAAACATGCAAAGTGCCCATGTAGCTATAGCCCTTTTGAATGTTGTACTTTCAAGTACAATGTATGTGCACATAAAAAAAATTCCAATAGATTACATTAGTGTGTGTGTGTGTGTGAGAGAGAGAGAGAGAGAGAGAGAGAGAGAGGAGAGAGATGATGATGCATGTGGAGTGGGGGGAGGAGAAAGCACATGGAGTTATGTGATGTACATGAGTGAGTAGTGGATGATTGTTTACAAAGTATATAAAAAAATTAAAAAATGAAAATAAATAAATAAAAAATAAAAATAAATATTATCCAAAGGGATGGGATATGAGATGGGATGGCAGTGTGTTGGTGTATTGGGGATATCTCCATGTTATTTGGTAACCAATTTCAATTATTATTGTCTCATGTCTCCACCACCCCCCACTCACACACCATTATATATATATATATATATATATATATATATATATATATATATATATATATATATATATATATATATATATATATATATATATATATATATATATATATATATATATATATATACTTTTGAAATCAAGATATATTTGGCAATGTTTTTGTTTTGCAATATAAAACGTGGAATGATAGTAATCGCGCTAAGTCGCTAACGAGCATAATATGCGAACTTTGTTTATATCGTCCAGATAAGATATTTAATTGTGTAATTCGATTGAAGTATGTCTAACTTTCAGCAATTATCGGCCATTTCGAAAAAAAATAAAAAAATTACTGCATGTTATATGATTGACTGCAATTGCTTCGCTAATATATAATTAAATAGAAGTTGTCATTGGACTAATTTAAATTTATGACAAATTTCCAAATTGATAAAAACAAATTAAGCATCATTAAGAAAAGAGGATGATACATTAAACTAGTTGTAGTGGAAAGTCACTTCATCATATATCTTAATCAGTCAAATTCACTTCACGTGGTTTAGTCATAAATGATAAATAATGTGAGGTAATTGAATTAGGTTTTAAATTAAAATGGCAATATTAAATGAAATAAATAATTGAATATTTATTTAACATACAAATTGTGGGCCTTATATATATATCAAAGTTGGACTCTTTTGATAATATTTTTGGGCCTTAAAACAACAGTTTGGGCCTGCGCCGCTATTGCAAAATAGAGGTTTAAATAAAATACAATTTAAAAAATAAAAATACGTTTTAGATAAAATAATCAAACGAAAACTTTTAAATGTGCTGTATGCGATACGATATAATCCAAAAATGTAAAAAATAATATACATTTCTTTTGATTAAGTACCAAATTAAATAAAAGAAAATATAAAATACGAAAATTGTGAAAATAAGATATATTATCTGGCTCAAAATACAAATATCTCGTTTAATGCTCTCGGATCATTAATATGAAACTTATTTGTAATTAGTTAACAATGACTAATCTTCCCAATGAAACGAGACATTAACGTAATACATTCTTTCGGAAAATCTTCTCAATTAATTTCCTAATTAGGTTAGCTTAATCCAATCCACTTAATATTCTAATATGAAACGACCATATTACCCCTCAAAGCCAGTGGACAACGATTGATTGGTGAGGTGTACGTTACAAAGGGTACTTCCGTCAATACAACAAGCTTTCGAATTTTCAAAAAACTCGGCGTCGAGCTCACGCGCATATTCGTTTATACTGAAATCGAGATTTAAATAAATTAGGGTTTTTCGTTTCTTCACTTCGCTTCGCTCTCGGATATTAGGGGGGAAAAATCATCTTAATTCTTAACCCTCCGCAATCAAAATCCAAATCGCTCTGCTCCAGCAGTACCGCATTCAGGTATCGTTTCCTCTGTTTACGCACTGATTATTTCGTGTTTTACGATGTTTTTTTGTACTGATTCTGATCGTATGTACGTTTGTTTATGTCTTGGATTACTAAATTTGAGCTCGCTATGCTTATTTATTATCCTTGTTCATATAAAAATCAGCTCTTTATCAAAGATTTGTATGTATATTCATGTCGTCAGGTAGGGTTTCCGAATGTGGAATGGTGAATATTTTTTCTTAATTTTAAATTTTGCGATGCTGGATATAAATTGAAACCTCTGTGTCTTTTTATGTTAATTTTTTGTCAGTAGCATATGCGTAGACGAATGATTTGAGGATTATAATTGTGATTTGATTCTAGTTTGTTTAAGAATGTTCAATTTTTTTTTTTTTTTTTTTTTTCATATGTAGGGATTCATAAAGAGAAAATGAGCACGAATGTCCATAGAACCCCTAAATCCGGGAGGCAATCCCCTATTTTTTCAAGATTTAGCAACACCTGTTTCATCAAGGCGATCTGGCGGCAAATTCGCAACCCCAGGTCAGGCGGCTGCAGTTTCCGCTCTGTGGCGTGAAAATTTTGCCAACTCCGATCTTCCTCCTCCGCCAGCTTTTACACTTGAAGACCGAATCGACCTTTCTCCAGAATCGGGGTTTCCCGATTATCCATGTCTCCGGAAGTGAAATCCGATCCAAGAACACCAGTGCAGAGTTACGGAAGGGAATATTCGACGCCCAAGAGCAAATCCGATGCGAGCACTTCGTATTCTGGAGGGAGCAAGCAGCCACATATGCAGAGTCAGCAGAGCCCTTTTGTGAGCTCTTCGAGCTGGTGGTCACCTGCAAAGACCGGCGGCGGCGGTGGTGGTAGTGGTGGTGTGGAGCAAGAAGATAAAGGGAAAGGTTCGCCTGTTGAAGGGGTGGTGCAATCTGGTGCGTTGATAGTTCTGCCACCGCCTAGGGAGGTTGCGAGGCCTGAAGTAAAGAGAAGCTTGGTGCCTTTGGGGAATCTTGATGAGGAGGAAT